TAAAGGCTCAAGGCTCCTGTGAAAAATATACATGTTGATAACTATAGAAAAATGGCAACTAAAAAGTGGCAAGTTATTATGATAGAAATAAAGACAAGGCAAACTTGTAATGTAAATTCCAGCTGAAATGGTAATAAAACAATCTTCAGTAATTATACATGGCTATGAAAAAGATGGCGGTAGAATATTGAACAAAAGGAACTTCAATTAGTGATACACCAGACATCTCAAATCTACTTAAAAGTATTGAACGACAATTGTTTAGTGCATAGTGATATTGAATTCCAAAAGTGTATGGCAGCAAATATGGTAGTGTGTTTGCCGTAGTTAGTGCGTGTATGTGGTAGTAAAAAAATTGTTGTTAGAGGCGAACCTGGTGGGATTAGCGTTTACCAATGGAAATTTTCGCAAGACATTGGCTGTTATGGAAGTGTTAAAACCCTTAAATGCAAGAATCCTCAGTGTATGTTTGAATAAATTACACACTGTTAGTACACTATGTTGCTGAAGAAGCGGGGGCACGCTGGTGAATAGAGTACTGAATGTTAGGATGCGAATGTCTTGGTTTTGGAGACGTTGAAGTGGGAGGATATGAGATGGATAGGTGTTTGCCAATGACGTGATGCAGTAGGTAATATGACTGTGGATAATGGCGTAGTATAGCTTAAGCAAAGTTGAAGCATGGTCATTCTTTAATTAATGCTCTGATACCATAAGCTATCCTCTGTCCTATAAGTGAAATGTGATGATAGTACTTTAGATGAGCATCTAGGAGTACTCCCAAGAATATGAACTTAGTGGAACAAAGATGTCTGTGGCTCTTGATAGTAATAGCCGGGGTAAGTGAAAGAGCATTATGACTCAAATGGAAGATAATGAACTGTGTTTTATTTGTGTGAATTCTTAAACCATTAGCTGTGTACCAATTCTTTAATAATAATGGTGTCCGAGGACTTCTTCTGTGCAATTATAAGAGCTCTTTACATCCCATTGCTAATCTAAGAAACTGGGGGACCACAAGCAGGCTGTTGTGACCAGCACATCATTGCATTCGCGTATTCAAGACCAGAGCCCTACACCAACAACGTCCTTGTTTATTTCTACCGCTCGTGCCCTCCCATTTTTCTTTCTCTTTGGTTCTCCTCCTTGTCGTCGTGGGGTCGCAATCATCCGCTGCAATTGCCTCATTTGAAAATTTGTATAAAACCTTCACTCGTACACCATGCTAGACAGCTTGAGATGCAAGCTGCTTTTAGGATCAATGGGCTTTGTCACATAGTCTTCATCAATAGTGGTACTTGCGCACTGCTCTGCTTCACCAAATGAATTCACAATAAAACAAAAAAAAGGTAGCTGTTAATAGTAGACTTCAAAATTTTGCAGTTGAACATCTGCACATTTCTAAAAAATTGAAATTTCAAATTTCTGGGTTTATAGATGTAAACGCCTCTTGGAGAGACATAAAAACTAGTATTGCCACGTGGCCATGATGTGAAGACTGCAGTAGTCGGCGGGGTTGAGACCAAACTTTTTATTTTAGCAAAACCTTGCCTGAAGTATGGAAAGCCAAACTACAAGCAATACATATAAACAGTGCGTCGGCCATCAATATTCTGACAAGCAGTACAGTGCATCTGCTTTTATACAAGAGCTATTGAAAATTTTGGGGTTATTGCTGGTGGCTGTGTAAGCACTAGGCTATTCGCGTCCTGCCACAAACTTAACAGTGTGATCTCAAGTTATCATGGAGCTCTTGAAAAACTGTTGCGCCGAGTGTTGCTTAGAGTCTTTGTGGATGAAACCCGACTTTATCGAAATAAAACACACGTGGCAATACGCATGTACTTAGTTGTCAGGCTTGTCAATTATTTGCTAAATTTATCCCAAGTAAAAAGATATTTTATCCTGAAAGGCCAAAAAAACATCGGAATATGCTGTGTTGTGCTGCATGTGTTATTGCTGTGAGAAATATATTATAAAGCAATTCACATACCTGTAATAACAATATACGTGAACTTCACATTCCCCAAGCAGTTTGCAGTGGCAAGTAATTTTTTAAATTTTCAACACATCTTATGACAGCCTTAATTTATCTTCTCATATCCAGAATTCTCTAGCAAAAACAATTAACATATGGCATTTTCTTTTTTTCTTTCAGGACAACATTAAAATGTTTATGTAATGTTTTACATTTGTTTTTATTATTGTTTTGCAACAAAGCACTCAGAGTATGTAAGTATTTGACTCAACTTGAGCCAGAAAATGAATGCTTCCAAAGCTTCTCAAAAAATAAATTTTATTGATATTAACAATTATATTTATCCAGGTGGTCACTCGTGATTTTGGCAAGAATTTTGCCAATGTATTGGCACTCACTGCATTTTCTGTCTGGCATGGGCTGAATATTAAAATGTACTTTTTCGTAGTTTGCTTAGTTAACTTTATTTGTATCTCAGCAGAGTTATTTGTGCTGTCTGACCTTGTGTTTTTATCATTATTGTGCAAATAATACAATAATAAACAAGTAAGTTATTATGAACAGGCTTATGCTTAGTTAACTGATGTAAGCTAAGAGTAAGTAAAAAATATGTGCAATAAACTGATTTTCTTGCTAATGGACGGCAAGATTAAGAGCAACTTTCACTAAATACACTTATGCTTTTACTTGCATTGCATGTCACGCATTGGCATCACTTGTTGCCAGGTGCGTTTTCTTTTTTCATTTACATACCTTGCGGCATGTGCAAGGGTCTGTTCAATGTGAGATGGGATACAGCACAAAAAAAAAAGCACTCGTGATGTTTGCAGATGCCCAATCACATTCACACAAAAAGATGGTGGGTCATTGGTAGCAACAACACTACTAAGGGTGTGCAAATATTTAAATAACAGACCCAATAGCATTTGCTAGTCAAATTTAATTGTACATACTCAAAATATCAAATATTTAAAAAATAATTAGCCCCGATGGGACAATCCTGAAGCAGCAAAACATGGGATCAGCTGGAGGTTTATTTTCTTTTTGTAATCCCTGAACTACCACAATATATGTAGCCCAAGTATTTGCAGCACTCTTGATTCTATAACCATTACCAGATAAAGCATTTTTTGCTGCAAACTGCACTTTCACTCTGTTTTTACTGTTGTGAAACTGCATCACATTAATCCTTTCCTATTTTCATCATGGAAGTTAGGGACTATGACTGCATTTAGCTTCACGAATAAAAACACATGCCAGTAAGTCTCTTGTTCACATAAATTGTTCTTACAGATACAGCTTTCAACACTTGATTTTTACATGCTCTCTGTGCCAGGGTATATGTTGTGATAATTTTGCCTGTTCCAATAAATCTTTAGCTGAATGCATGGTGTTCGGTTGAAAATTGTTTAGATTTTACACTGAAATTTTACTTAAAAGCTGGCAACAGAGTTTTAACTTGAATAATGGAGTTGCTGAGGCATTTTGACATACAGTTGAAAAGTATTTTGAAGGCTCCAGTCGCTGCTGTATACGAGCTTATCACAGTTTTCATACTTGTAGTATTATTTGGGTGACAGCTCATGAATATTTATTTCAAGTAAACTGTTTTGGAGTTCTAGGATAATTTTTAAAAAGGTCTCAGTTTTTATTTGAAAACTATCACAAGAGTATTTGGTTAACTTAAGCATTATTTTTGGTTATACTGTTATTGGATTTATATTGAATTCGCTTTTGAAATTTACTACTCGCAAACCACTTGCTCGCGCGCGTCTGTTTCGAAAAGCAGTTTCGAAATGCTCCTAGACGTCGGAATCGCGTGCCGTTGAACGCCCGTGCAAGATAGTGCGAGGGTGTTAATCATTTCTGAAAATCGGCAAAATGAAAGAAATGGCTTCGTGGTGAGTACTTTAGGCAATATTTGCTGTGGCACTGTATTTATTCCTCTTTCAGCACGATGGAGCATTTACAGAATCGGTACGTAATGATTAATGCATACTACGTTTAGTGCGCAGTTAGCAGTGTTCTCGACGAGTATGTACATATTAACGTGGTTTTACTGTAACAAGCTTTGAACGTGTGTGTAGCGGGGAGATGGGTACATAGGCGTGCGCAGGGTTCCGCTTTAGTAAGGGGGCAGGGGACGTGAAGATTCGTCGCAGCGCCCCTCTCCCTATCATGTCAATGTATTAAGCTTGCTTCACGCTGCAGCCAGCTAGATGATGCAATATCATTCACTGCTTTATGTCTTCACGTCTGTGTAGGGTCCTGCTGTTGGTTATTTTTGTGCTGATTTCGTTGGCCTGCTGCTTTTGTATTGATCATGTAAAGTGAGAGAATATTAGTGAAATAAAGATAAATTTTCTTCCAATGTGGCTGCCATGAAAAGCTACGTGTGTGCTCTACACACAGAGGTAGCTGCTCCAAAAGCAGATTTTGCCTGCTTCAATGGCTGCTACAAAATGCTGCAAGACATTCTCACCACTGCGACTGCCATGGGAAACTGCTCTGAAGGTGCTAAGAAAAGAACACGCGTTTTTATGTAACTATTTTGCGTACTCCAGGGATCGTTAGTTACTTCTCTCGTTTGAAGTTTTCGGAGGAGCTTACGGCACAAATGGCATTAATAAACAATTGAAGTGTGTTGAAAGTGGTTTCATGCGAGCGAGCCGAGCGTCGTCTGCTAGCGCCGCTCTTTGGACCCCTCTAGAGGGTGTGCATGCTGTTATCACTACCTTTATAAATATCAGGATATCTATTTTATCAATGGCAGCCAGATGCGGCCGACTCAACATAAACAAGGTGCTGTCTGAGGCAAGGCAAAAACATAGAAGCATGGTCTGTAGCAGACTATTGTCTTTCGATGATATTTGCATCGAAGCTAGCAAACACATGACCAATTTGTTATTTTTTTCCTGATCATTAGTCATTCGTGAGTGTGTGCTTTCTTCGTTGTTTTTGCAGTGTTCTAGTTTAAGAGCAGCGAATACGTTTCTAAGTACGAGCATCATGATCCTCGCAGCTTCACGAGGGTGCTCGTGAAGGCCGCGTCTTGATGGGCACGGTCGATAGCTTTCTGCTGTGGCGATTGACTGGAGGCCGCGTGCACGCCACAGACCCTTCCAACGCCTGCATCACCGGACTGTTCGACCCCTTCACGGTGAGCATCTCATGGTGTGTGCCCCTCTTGAGTACGTTTGCACGGCCGCTGGGCAAAAACAAGGTGCAGCCTGTTGCGTGCCACCGAAGCGACGCGATGGGCTTAGTTCACCTCGAGTCTGCGCTGGCGCCACCACTCCTCCCAGGAGAAACGCTTTCACACGCAGTGCTACGTGAGAAAGTAGGCCGTGAAAAAAAACGCGTTTCGTGGTACCACTTCACAGGTTTGATTCTTTATTGTTAAGAGTACTTATTAGGAGTACCTTTTACACCACATATGTGGACAGTTCGCCCCTGGAGGGCCAATATTTTGTCTGTGTAGGCCTGAATACGCTCCATAAATACTCATCGTTTCACTCTCCTGAAAAGAAAAGGGTCACTGATTCTGTTCATAGGAGGCAATTGCCGGGCATATTCCAAGGGTTGACTTATCAGTCCACCGAAACGCACCGCGAAAGCATGGACAATTTAAATGTAGATTCTTTTAGTGCCTCAAAAGGGCTGGTTGTGGTCCAAATACCGAGTTGAAAGCAAGAGTTTACAACACAAACGAGTTATGTATTCTCACTAAAGGCATCACAAAAACTTGCACATTTGGCAGGTATCATTTATAACTCACGAAATAACAGAGAGCGTGTAAAACAATGGTAACAAACTTTCCGCGCTACAAATGCAATTGCACGCACTATAAACTGCGCAACAACACTTAGCGGCGTTGAATATTCACCACACTTGTGTACTCCACATTTTTCGAACGTGTCTTGAATATTTCTCTTCGAGGAAGCGCTGAAACACTCTGGCGCTGGTCCTTGTCCTGGCGTCACTCTTCATTAAAGTAAACCAGCGGCATCATAACTAGATTCTTCAACATCAACTCACTGCACTTCACGATGCACTCACACCGCTCAAAAAATACAACTCCTTGGTTGAGTTCACCACCCGTCCTACCCTCCGTCACCTCTAGTTTGGACCACTCGCGGTTTCGCAAACAACCCAAGTAATTGCGACAGTGGTGGGAAAGGATTTCATCTCGCCAGTTCTTTTGCGCAGACGGTTGCCCCCAAAAGAGGCCCCTTGTCAATATCTTGATCATTTCTTATCTGTGCTGGTTGGCTGACAGCGTGTGTTAAAAGTGAGGGTGCGCCCTAGGCGCGTTTTGATCCTTGTATCCTTGCGTCCGCCCGTGGAGAGAACGTTTGGCAGGACGATGTGATGCTGTCGTCTGGAGACGGCAATGCACGTCAGATTCTGAGCTCGTGTGTGATCAAAATGAGTTCTCTGTTATGAATAATGTGCATACTGATACGCTTTTCACACAATAAATTGCAGAGGAATACGCTGTACTTGGAAGTAGCATCTTTTTTTTTTCGCGTTAGAGCTGCTCAGAGGCACCCAAGAGCTTCAGTGGTGTCACACCATTAAAAAACCGACTGCCACACACGCACACATTAAAAATCGTACTCCATCTCAGGAAACATGAGACAAGCTACCCCAAAGACATGATCGCATGCAAAAACAGCACGAGAAAGCACGCGAAAAAAATTGGCCCCGTATCTGCATGTAATCAGCAAATGTCGTCGAAAGACGATAGTCTTGCGTGTGGAGAGAGTGAAGAAAACATATATTTGATGTTCTGCGCAAGAAAATCGGGGAATGGTATTCCGGAGGTGCTTGTTAGAGTGCCTCGAGCGTGCAGCGGAGGCAAACGAGCGCATCAAGTCACGTCACACGTGAGACATAAGCGCCATCTGGCAGTTTTATTTCGAAAACTAAGCGCGTGGCCCTTAGACGGGCGTGCGTGCCCGTCTCAGAGGTGATAAGGTGTAAAACGAAAGGCGACGGGTAGGTGCCACCACTGTATCGTCTTAGCAAAGCGTTGGAAACACTCGCTTATTCGCGCAAGCGTTGCTTGGTCAGCGCAACGTGATAAGCGCTATGGTCCTTAGAAATACTTATGTATGCCTTTTCTAGTAAAAGACAAACATGCAGATTATATACGTGCAGAATATATACGCGTGCAACAGCGATGATGCTACTCGTTAGCAGCCTACTAATTGTGGTAAGTTCGTCAGGCAGGCTAGGGAGATAAGACTCCGGAGCGCCCTTCAGTTCACAATTCAAGTAAAGGCTTGTTAATCAGGTGCCGTTCATTTCATACTTCAATTCTGATTCGTGCAGGTTCGAGTAGCACTCACTTGATTTCGCAAGGCGTCGTTAATGTACGATAACAGAGCTGAAATGTAACTTTTCACATTGCGGCAAATGATCAAGTGGCGCGAATTCACGTGGCCACAGAAAGTATCTTTATCTCATATACATTTCAGTGCAGCTCATGACTTTATACAGTGACAGCGGCACGGTCCATACGTCCGCACGTACTATCCATTCCTATGCTAGCTAATAGGTTGACCCTCCTGCGGGGGCTCTCTCTAATCGTACAGCGCCTCACCTTTATTTGTGTTCGTTGTGAATGCCAGACCCCTCGTGCATGCTCTTCGCTTAGGGAGGTACAACATTGTGGGTAACTGTCGGCTGTATTCAAAACGAATTGGCTAATTGTACAATAATTGGCTAGCGATGTACAATAATTGTAACTTGACTCACGTGCTCACACGGGACGCATCTCCTCGCTACATTAAAAAGCTTTGCTTGTCCTCGTGTGTTACTTGATACAGACGCGATGTCCTTGCTTTCGTTTCAGATGGAGTGGTCCTGCCTGATCACAGACATGCTGGATATTCCTGTCAGCATGTTACCCAAAGTTCTCAGCACAAGGTACTGCGAAAAATTATTCTGCAGGAAACGCAGCCGCAGGCTTTTTGTTTTAACAGCAGCCTTTCTCGGACTGCAGTGGGAGACCCTTTGAGTGTACTGCTTGGCACAGCCGTGCTACATGGTTGACTCCGAAGAGTAGTTTCTCGCCAATGGACACACACACACACGTGCGCGCGCACACACACACATGCACACACACACACGCACACACTTGCACACACACACAAACACATATTTATATATATATAATGTCACTTGTGAATGGCTTTATTTACAGGTGCGATAAAATGGTGCTTAGAGCAGCATACTTGCGAGACAAGCCTAGTCTAGTTCACCCAATCACGGAGTCGAAGTGCCGGCTCCGCTACTCTTGTTCTTTCGTGTCGCGTATGCTGGCGCGTCTCCGTTTCATTTTCCACGGATGTAGACCAAGCCCGCCTAGCGAGTTAAATATGCCTATGATACTGTTCGAGGCGGGCAAGGTGAGCGACTTGCATACCGCGCGAACGCCGCTTATTGACTGTGGCTCGGGGGACAACGTAATTCTCATCACCAAGGCGAGCGCCTATCATGCATCAGCCGGAATAGTTTGCTAGATAGTTCCGATACAATCTTTTTCTACGAGTAAAAGCCCATCGCCAAATGTAGTCACCGGCAGAAAAACCTACTGGGATATGCTTGGCATTGTAGCAACTCTTGCTTTTCTTGAAATGACAATGTTCGTAGGTGCGCTAGTCGGCGCGCGTCTTCAGCACGACACTATGTGTGAGCGACGGAAAGATCTTCCTGGCGCGGAAAAGGCAATAGAGTGTCCAGAAAAGTCCGAGGGTTTCGTGTGTGAAGCATGAAAAAGGGCGAATGTCCAGTAACTTCATGCTTGGCGGTGTTATATGCGTAAGGGACAAACAGCAAGATGGTGTCCGAGTTCCTGTGTTAAGCACCAACGTACATCGATTCCATGTTCGTAAGAGTGCAATTCGTACTCACGGTAAGACCGTTAGTTTGCGGATGGTAAAGTGTGGAGTGTCGATAAGAACATATCCAGCTTTTCTAGATCGATGGATGGATTGATGTGGCCATACCCTATAGATCGAGTGGCGGCTAACGCAACCTAGTCGTAATTCTTAGTGAACCAACAAGTAGACTCACCTTTTTTTTCTTTAAATAGGGAAGTATTGAACTGATAATTTGCAGTGAATGGTTTAATTTTCACTCGTGCCTTGACTTTAGCCACCGATCAGATAACCTCCTCCTAGTTCATTCTACCCGCTTAAAGTCTATTTTGCCCTCCCTGTCCCTAAACCCCAGTGCTTTGAAAAACTCGGTGCCATCGTCCTGAACTATAAGGTGAAGCCCTTTACAGAACATTATCAAGTGTTCGGCAGTTTTCTTCTCCTCTCCACACGCAGTGCATACCGTGTCTACCTCTTCGTATTTGGCCTGATAAGTCTTGGTTCCAATACTCCTGTCCTGGCCTCAACCAGTAGAGAAATACCCCGAGTATTATCTTAGATCCTTTCCTTGGCAATTTCCTGCCTAAAAGTTCGATAGATCTCTAGTGCGGACTTCAATCATGCCAATTCTCTACATGTCAGTCTCCGTTTCCTTCACCTTCTTCTTAACCGATAGTTCTTTTTGGTTTGGCCCCCTGCTGTTTTCTAAGTATTTACCCGTCAATTTTCTGGTTCGCTTCTTCCATTTTGTATTGACATTTTTCATGTACAAGTAGCTGGAAACTTTCCTAGCCCAACTCTCCTCCCCCATTTCTCTCAATTGCTTCTCAAATTTTATCTTACTGCTAGCTTCCCTGCCCTCAAATGATGTCCATCCCATATCATCCAGTACTCCCTGATTTGGTATATTCCCGTGAGCTCTTAAAGCAAGCCTACCTATTCTACGTTGGTTAATCTCTAATCTTGCTTGAACTTCTGATCTCATGCACAAGACCGCATTGCCGAACGTTAGACCAGGAACCATGACCCCTTTCCATATTCCCCTCACAACATCATACCTATTGAAATTCCACAGTGCCCTATTTTTAATCACTGCTGCATTCTTGTTACCTTTAGTCGTTACGTATATTTCGTGTTTCCTTAGGTACTCGGTCCCATTGCTTATCCATACGCCCAGATATTTGTATTTATCTGTTCTCTCTAGTGTGACCTCCTGCATCCTCAGCTCACTATCTTCATTATATTTAAAAATCATGACTGCTGATTTTTCCTTACTGAATTTGAAATCTAACATATTTTCCTCATTAACCCAGATGTCGATCAATCTTTGCAAATCTTCCTTATTGTCGGCTATTGGCACTATACCATCTGCGTACATCAATGCTGGTAGTGCCTCTTCAATGAGTTTTCCTTGTTTGAAGAAAGAGAGGTTGAAGCCACATCCACTTCCTTTTAATTTGGCCTCTAATCCTTGTTGGTACATTATGAATAACAAGGGTGACAGAGGACACCCCTGCCTAAGCCCCCATTTTACCTCTATGGGCTTGGATACCTGTTTTTCCCACTTTATAACTACCTTGTTACTTTCATAGATATCCTTCAAAAGATTAGTGGCTCCATCTTCCATACCTAGTGTGTCCAGTATTCCCCACAAGTCCTCTTGAACTTCGCTGAACGGCAGCTAGCCGGCCGCGAACTAAGGGGCCTAGTGAAATATCTCGAGGATCGGACCACCGTCGTCCCGCAAGTATTCAGGCGAGGACTGGCGTCAGTTTTGCCTGAAAAACAACGTCCTTGTAAAAGAGAAGTTCTCTCCCGCCCGAGTCAGCTACCTCATCCTTGTACCTTCGGCAAAGAGTTTGTAGGTCCTTGAGGCCTTACACGACGACCCAACAGGTGGACTCCTTGGTGTTTCGCGTACGCTCGTAAGAATACAGGAAAAGTACTACTGGCTACGCCTTACCGCTGACGTCACTCGTCACGTCAAGACCTACCCAGACTGTGAGCGACGAAAGACAGCACCCACTAGGCCAGCCGGACTTCTCCAGCACATCGATTCACTTTGCCGGCTGTTCCAATGAATTCACATGGACTTACTGGGGCCTGAATGTGAACATTCGGCAGAAGTCTGTCTGGTTGGGTATGAAACTGGGAGTTGATTTAGACTCCAACAAAAAGTCTGAAGAAACCCGACGTTTCGAAATCGACATGATTCCTTTTTAAGTGGTGACTGCGGGGCTATGTAACAACGGCTTCTTCAAAACACTCGCGGGGTGCATAATGACCCCCCCTCTCTCTGCTTTTGCTTTGAAGAGTAGTCCATGTGTATACACAGAGAGAAGGGTTCCGAAAGAGCCGTCGATGTTATGGGCTGTCCACTGTATGTGTCACGACTCGAGTAATAACCTTCTCCTCCAGTTTGGCTCGCTTTCAAGGATGGTCGTTGCTTCTAAATTTATCCGGTGATACAATGTCTCAGCATGTTCGGCGACTGCGCTGCGCTCTTTGTAGAGCTTCCACACATCGTTGGCGTGTTGCTTCAGTCGTTCCGGCACGTTTTTCGTCTCGCCAATATAGAAAGAGGGGCACTCGGTACCCGGAATTTCGTAAATGACACTGGGGGTCCTGTCCATTGTCGGCCGGTCTTTCCGGCGGGGGACCAGGTCGCCCAGTGTACTCGAAGGTACGTGCGTGATGCGAACCCCTTCCTTCTTGAAGATCAGCACCAACATCTCGCTGGTTGCCTGAACGTATGGGACTAACACGCGCTTCGGGGGGCTGCCAATTAGGGTTGATTGGGGCTTTTGTATCCTCTGTTGCTCTGCGTGGCGAATGGCGACTAGAATGAAGTTTTTTGGGTATCCGTATTTCTTAGGTCAGCAATTACGTGGGCCTCTTCTTTCTTTAGCTCTGTGTCGTTGGAGCATAAGTTCTTAGCTCTCTGGAGTAGCATGGTCACAACCGAGGCCTTGTGGCAGGCGGGGTTCGAAGAATCAAATTGAAGGTAGCGGCCAGTGAGTTCCTACAAAACAAAAATAGTTCCTACAAAGGAACTATTTTCACGCAGAACAGTGGAACCACGATGGGAGCTTCCATCTCCGTCACGATAGGAAACCTGACCATGGAGTACACAGAAGAGAAAGCACTCAGCTCCTTCTCGCCGCGACTCAAGCTTTTTTCTCCGTTATATGGACAATTGCTTTTGCGTGTCTGAAGTTGAAAACTTCACACAGCACCTAAATTCTGTGCACCAAGCTACACAATTCACAACCGAGTATGAAAGCGACCACTGCCTGCCCTTTCTCGACGTTCAGGGGGCAAGAAAGTGCAATGGCCTGGAGTGATTCATTCACAGGAAGCCAACGCACAATGGTCGCTACCCCGTAGTAACACACGTGCAGAAGCTCCATCCTCGTAGCTTTGGCTGCGCTGCCCCAGAAAGTTGCCGCCGAGTATAAGAAAGATGTGTACTCTCTCCCGCATATCCTTGAAAGCGAGCCGAACTGGAGGAGAAAGTTATTACTCGAGTCGTGGCACATACAGAGGACAGCCCATCAACCCATCAACCGCTCTCTGGGAACTTTTCCGCTAGTGTATACAGACAGACTACGCTCACGGAAAAACGAGAGAGAGAGAGGGGCGGTCATTATCTGCCCTGCGAGTGCTTTGAAGGCGCCGCTGCTACGTAGCCACGCAATTACCCCTGAGGAAGGAACGAAATCGGTTTCGAAACGTCGTGTTTTTTCAAAGTTTTGATTGGAGTCTAAATCGTCTCCCACTTACTGGGGCCATTCCCAACGTTGAATTTTGGGGACGAATAAATCGTCGTAGCTACAGACTACTTCACCCACTAAGACGAGACAAGGGCCCTGCCCAAAGGCAGTGCCTCGCAAGTAACAAAGTTCTTCATCGAGAACATCGTCCTGCGTCACGGAGCTCCAGAGGTCCTTATTACTGACAGAATTATGGCCTTTACGGCGGCCCTAACTCAGGCGATCTTGTGGTGCAGCCGGAAAAGTCACCGCTGGACCACTGCCTACCATCCGC